TAATCGTAGTACGATTAAGATCATTTACTAATAAAAGGACGATTTAAATTTGTTTTTTTTTTCGTTTTACAATAGGTAACAATCCAACGCGTTTACGTAAGAAACTCACATTTTAAAAATCTCACGTGAGGTTCGGGGATATGAGAGGGGGTTGAATAAAATCTCACGACATCTCACAAGGTAGGGGCAGAAAATTTAAAAAAACGCCTCACGTAGTTTAAGGACCTTTTTTTTGGCAGGGGAAAATCATCCAATGACTTCTCCCGCCCAGGGTAAGGCGAGAGAGAGTGTAGTGTAGCTTTCCGCCCACAGACGGGGCCCTATAGGGCTGATGTTCAGCCGGGGTTGCGGGGTAAGCGCAATGAGGCACCGCGGCCTCGGCCCAGAGCAGGAGAAGGAACGAACGGGAAAATCATTAAATTTCTTCTTCCGCCCAAGGTATGGCGAGAGAGAGGCGTGCGTTCGTGCAGCGGAATGTTGTTGAATTTAAAGATTTTAATTATGCAGATATTTAGTGTATGACGTCGTTTAATTGTGTATGGTAAAAAAAAAATTGTGCACGCAACCATTGTGGAGAAATTCACCAAAAACTGATTCCGCTGGGCGAACGTTGTCCTGGCGGAACTTTTTTTAATCCATAGACTTTAGAAGAAAAGAGATGTATCCAACAATTAGTGTGTATTTGTGTGTAATTGTGTATGTATGAATAAAACTAGTGCATGCATAAACTTCGGAGTAATTCAAGTTTCCGCTACGCGAACGTTTGGCCATTAGCTAGTTTTCATATAAAGCGCTTACATAGAGAGCTGTAGATTTTTACATACGTTGTTTTGAATTTGTTTATATTTGTTTAAAAAACAGATTTAGAAAAAATCGTAGGGTTTAAAAGATAAAAATATAAACGTAAAATACGCTTATTAGGTCTTAGTTCTTAAAGTATGCACTTTAGGGTCTAGATTTTCACGTTTATACAAACCTTGTAAGTGTCTGTAACATGTTGCCAAGTATCAATGATGTTCCGTTAGTCATTAAATAGTTATAGGACAAATTTACCATGAATAGATCACTGTTTACAAAGCAGTCAAATATCACGACTTTCTAAATGAATTGCATGGTAAAATGTATGCCAATAATTAGTGTATTCATTCAACTATTCACATGCAAAATTTCATGTCATTAAATTCAGTAATTAAAGAAAAACAATTATAATACTGACGAAGCATCGAAAACCTACATAACCCGACCAAGTTCGGATGGCTACAAAAAAGCGGCTGTGCCATATATCTAAGAAACGTTCTTAACTTTCCAATATAGCATTTATTAATATGGTACAGTATCGTACACAAGCGTTAGGAAAAAATAAAACACAGTATCGTACACACGCTCGTGCATGCCTAGTCTATTGGTTAAATAGTGTAATTAACCAATAGACTAGGCTAAAAATATAAACAGTAGTACATACCTACTTACATGTGGTAAATATTTAATTTCCCTAAGGAGTCTATAGTTAGAATCCTGATCCGTGAAATCTTCAATAGAAATTAGCTGTATGAATTTTATTTGTCTTAAATATAATTAGATTATATCTCAAGTCTCAAGCGCATACTTAAATAAAGTACCTACGTAAATAGTACCTACCTACTTTCTGTCATAGTCAAATACATTTAAAAAAGTAGGAGTCCAAAAATAAATGACCTATAAATTATTTCGAAACAACAAGTGTGTTATCACCTGTACCAATTCAATACCGGTATTATACTGTAAATTTTGGGATGTTACCTAAATATATTGCACAGCCGCTTTTTTGTAGCCATCCGAACTTGGTCGGGTTATGTAGGTTTTCGATGCTTCGTCAGTATTATAATTGTTTTTCTTTAATTACTGAATTTAATGACATGAAATTTTGCATGTGAATAGTTGAATGAATACACTAATTATTGGCATACATTTTACCATGCAATTCATTTAGAAAGTCGTGATATTTGACTGCTTTGTAAACAGTGATCTATTCATGGTAAATTTGTCCTATAACTATTTAATGACTAACGGAACATCATTGATACTTGGCAACATGTTGCAGACACTTACAAGGTTTGTATAAACGTGAAAATCTAGACCCTAAAGTGCATACTTTAAGAACTAAGACCTAATAAGCGTATTTTACGTTTATATTTTTATCTTTTAAACCCTACGATTTTTTCTAAATCTGTTTATTAAACAAATATAAACAAATTCAAAACAACGTATGTAAAAATCTACAGCTCTCTATGTAAGCGTTTTATATGAAAACTAGCTAATGGCCAAACGTTCGCGTAGCGGAAACTTGAATTTCTCCGAAGTTTATGCATGCACTAGTTTTATTCATACATACACAATTACACACAAATACACACAAATTTTTGGATACATCTCTTTTCTTCTAAAGTCTATGGATTAAAAAAAGTTCCGCCAGGACAACGTTCGCCCAGCGGAATCAGTTTTTGGTGAATTTCTTTACAATGGTTGCGTGCACCAATTTTTTTTACCATACACAATTATACGACGTCATACACTAAATATCTGCATAATTAAAATCTTTAAATTCAACAACATTCCGCTGCACGAACGCACGCGAGAGAGAGTGTCAGACTCTTACTGACTAAAAACACCCCCGTTTTTTCTGCTGTCTAGGCCGAAGTCGCAGTGCCACATTAACTTGCCTTAAAACAAGTTCTTAGTAAATAATAAAATAAGTTTATACCTAAAAAGTTGTTGTTTAATAATTTTATTAAATTCTATTCTTACAAAAAACCGGCGTGAAACAACCACAGCGTTGTTTCGCGTGTGAGTGAGGCTACCGGAGGCCCAATCGTTCCCCCCTCCCCCAATCCCTCCTCAATCCCTAAATCTCCAAATCCCTAATCCCTTATCCCTAAAAGGTCGGCAACGCACTCGTAACTCCTCCGTTACGGGTGTCTATGGGCGGCGCTGATTACTTACAATCAGGTAATCCGTCTGCTCGTTTGCCGACCTATTACATAAAAAAAAACATTTTTTTTTTAATCTTGTCATTTCATATATTATATTGTTATTAGTGTACATAAATACAGATCAAAGTACAACACAACTGACAAATTATTCCATTTCACACTTTATTAATTTTATTTAAAATCTTTCCTCTCCAATAGGAAACTACAGTTTGAAATATGCTTATAATTACACTATAGACATATTAACTTATTAATATTATTCTTCTAAGCTCTTTTATTTCCTTCTTGAATGTCAACCGAGTCTCCAATTTAATGTTGTCGACTATACTGCCAGTTTCGAGTAGTGACGGCAGATTATAGACCAGTCGAACTTTAACTTTGTAGTAGTTTGTTGATAGTAGCTGAAAGTTTAACACCCGGTTTCTGAAAGGCTTGTCAACGCTAAAATTAACTAATCTCCTGTTAAATCTCTTGTCAAATCATCTGATTGGTTGTTGATAATTCAGTCAACCAATCAGATGACTTGACAAGAGATTAAATTGATTTTAACATTGATCGGCCTTTCCGAAACCGGGTGTAAGTCCTTTCTATTGATTGACATTAAATGAGTGACATTTAAATTCACCTTTGACTTTGACATTGACTTTTAAATTTTCACTTTGACATTGACAACTGAGCTTGATGTTGACTTTGATTTTAAAAAAGGACAGTTTGTAGTGATTTGAAATGCAATTACTAACATCTGTCGAATATACCAACCCTAGCAGGGATACATCATTGTTAGTTATATCACAATCACACTTTTTTAATGACTTATAAGTTGTGAAATCCATGTTTCAAAAAAAAAACAGTGTTTGTCAAAAAAAAACATTTTTGTCTTCAACTTAAAAAAACATATGCTTACTTACCTACATGAGAATAAAATTTTTGCCGCAAAAATTTCACAAATAAAATATTTAATTTAATCAAAGAGGTATTCGGCAAAGAGGCTTCGTGTGTATTTTATCAATTACATAAAAAACGAAAAAATAATGTTGACAGTCCACGTAATAATCAATTACAAATTTTCAATGAATGGAAACTAAACTCATTTTTTCAAAAACAAATTTCTGAAAAAAAAAAATACCATTCTTCCACGACCAAACTTTAAAAAAAAAGCACTTCTTAAAGAAAATTACATACAGTGAGAATTTCTAAATTAAAAAAAAAACTCATTAAAATTCGTCTACACAGGGAATTAATTTTGGAAAATACATCAAACAATTTTTATAATATTTTCTATAAAACGACCCTGAGAAGACAATCAATCTAGTTATCGCTAATAGCCGGTTTGGTCGGATATGAGTTTTTATACTAGCGAAATATCAAATTTCAGCAAAATTGTGAGGGTTGTTTCCGAGATCACATGCTTTTTCAAACAATCATCGCCATCTGCCGGGCAGATTTGTGAATCTAAACCATCCAGGGCGCTATTCAAACGCACACACATCCTTCCTGACATCCTTGTTGACTGGACATCTACACTACATGAGCTGCTGTTTACATGTGAACATTAGCTCATGACGATACCTAAGTACGTGTGTCGCCTGGACAGTCAACCTCGCTACATCCTTGTTGACTGGACATCTACACTACATGAGCTGCTGTTTACATGTGAACATTAGCTCATGACGATACCTAAGTACGTGTGTCGCCTGGACAGTCAACCTCGCTACATCCTTGTTGACTGGACATCTACACTACATGAGCTCCTGTTTACATGTGAACATTAGCTCATGACGATACCTAAGTACGTGTGTCGCCTGGACAGTCAACCTCGCTACATCCTTGTTGACTGGACATCTACACTACATGAGCTGCTGTTTACATGTGAACATTAGCTCATGACTATACCTAAGTACGTGTGTCGCCTGGACAGTCAACCTCGCTACATCCTTGTTGACTGGACATCTACACTACATGAGCTGCTGTTTACATGTGAACATTAGCTCATGACGATACCTAAGTACGTGTGTCGCCTGGACAGTCAACCTCGCTACATCCTTGTTGACTGGACATCTACACTACATGAGCTGCTGTTTACATGTGAACATTAGCTCATGACGATACCTAAGTACGTGTGTCGCCTGGACAGTCAACCTCGCTACATCCTTGTTGACTGGACATCTACACTACATGAGCTGCTGTTTACATTAGCTCATTTCTTTGATCATTTCATCCGATACGGCCAAGTTGTTATACCATAACTTGTCAAATCAATGGCTTCATCATCTTTTTTTTTATTGACTTTTCATATTCAGGAGATAAATATAATCTCGTATTGAAAATTATGATTTTAGGATCACTGTTTTTTTATTCTTTTTATAATTAGTGGGGCGACAGCGTTGCATTTTCGTTTTTCACCGCCTGTTTCTTCCGTCGTTATAATAGGTTCATCGGTTTTAGATTCTTCAGCGATTGCATTGGAATTGGAAGTGGCGAATTTTTCTTCCATTTTCGCCAATTCGGCTTTAGTACCGACCTTTAAGAATACGTTATTGAATGTAGTCCAAACAACTGATTTTTTGACGGTCACATTTTCCGAAACGGGTGGATGGACGGTTTTCTTTTCATTCAATTCTTTTATATTGACTTCACCTTTGTCGTTTTTAAAGAGCATGAAATCGCTACCTTTGCTGCCATAAGGTAATGCGTTGTCGAAATACCGGACTGAAGTTAATTTATTAGCTATTAACATTGATAGTTCAGGTATACTGAATTCTGTTAACAGTTCATTTATGTTAGACCCCGCGAAATTGACGATAGTAGGATCCGCGCCGTTCTCAACTAATATTTCTATAGTTCTTTTATAATGGTCAACTATTTTCGTTTTATCTCCTCGCTCTGTAAATTGAGGAAAATATATTACATTACTCTGGCCCACGGTTACCACGGTTTCGTAGAAAACAGGCGTGAAACAACCATAGCGTTGTTAGAAAAAAACTTGGGATTTTCTCCTGTGTCGTGGGTGCGTTTACAAACATTTTCAACAATTTCACATACACATCACACCCAGACCCGGAACAAAGAATTTGTGGATCACAAAGAGTATTTCCGTGCAGGAATCGGACCCGCGACACGTTGCGTGGCAGCCAGTTGACCAGCCACCGTGCAGTCACACGGTTTCATTCTGAAACTTACCTGGTGTTGCGGGTGTCCATGGGTGGCGCTGATTGCTTACCATCAGGTAATCCGTCTGCTCGTTCGCCGACCTAGGTAAAAAAGGGAAGAAAAAACAGTGTTTTTACGTACCTACAGAATCCATACACGCTTCGCTGACAGCGAGATATAACGCTGTATTTCCACTGTTGGGAGCGCACATGTTTACCGAAGCCCTACAGCTTTCAACTAACGCTAAAACATTGTTGTATCGCCCGGATTTACTCGCCAACATAAGTGGTGTGTAACCTAGTAACGAAAAAAATTCAAGTCAAAATTATTTATTCCAACTAAACCATAAATAGGTACTTTTGAAACGTCAAAATAGAATAGTAGTCTGTCACTCTGTTCGTCAGTGAAGCTAGGTGCTCGTTCCAAATTGTAGTTTCGAATGGAGAAGAACGAGCAAGAAACTCCATCATCATTAGCCTATAAGTGCACACTGCTGAGCAAAGGCCTCTTCTCACACGGAGAAGGTTTGAATATTAATCACCAATCGCTTGGTAACGCGAATTGGCGATTTCAAACTTATAATTAGAAATTATAAGTCCAGGTTTCCTCACGATGTTTACCTTCACCTTATATCAGTGGTGTCTAAATAATCACAGAAAGTACATATAACTCGGAAAAAGTCACATTGGTACTTGACAGGTTTCGAACCCACACCCTCGCGCCTGAGGTGCCTTAACCTCGAGGCCACCACGACCTTCAAGTGTCTATAAAACATATATAAATTTATATTATTTATACATAAAATTTATATAGAAGCATTCTTTGAGATTGTCAGTATACATGTGCGCCATGTTCGATACGACAAAGAATTAAAATTTAATGATAGATCCCATCATTTGTTCTTTTTTTAACAACTTGTCTCTGCATTGTTCTCACATAAGGGTACAATAATGTATACTAAATGAATGCATTACTGAAATTATAACACATTTTTTTTTAAAAAGAGTAACGATGGAGTTTCTTGCTCGTTCTTCTCCATTCGAATATACAATTTGGAACGAGCACCTAGCTTCACTGACGAACAGAGTGACAGACTACTATTCTATTTTGACGTTTCAAAAGTACCTATTTATGGTTTAGTTGGAATAAATGATTTTGACTTTGACTTACAAGTAAAGCGTACCTTGATAGTCATATTGTCTGTTGATATACATCATTAGAATCGGCAGTAATTCTTCATCGGATTTTCTTTCAAAACCAGGCTTCCATAGATCTTCATTTTCGAATAACAATTTCCTGAAAAATACATACAATGAGAGTAAAAGGGTTGTTTTTGCTCGGTAGATGGCGCTAGTGTAGCTTTTGGTCGTGTTTGTCCTATGGATAATTATTGGAATGCTTCGGAACGAATGGGTCGGCTCGACTGGAGTGATCGAATCAACCACAGCGTTGTGCTACGCCGTGTTAGTGAGTTTACCTGAGACCCAATCCTTCCCCTCCCGCAATCCCTCCTCAATCCCTAATCCCCAAAAGGTCGGCAACGCACTCGCAACTCCTTTGTTACTGCAGGTGTCCATGGGCGGCGCTGATTGCTTACCATCAGGTAATCCGTCACCTCGTTTGCCGACCTATTACATAAAAAAGAATATGCAACACGAAAATTTTAAGTACCTTTAAAACAACGAACTTGTTTTTTTTTAATGTTGCCCCATATTAGAATTTTATCCTGTGTCGTGGGTGCGTTTACAAACATAAAATATGACATACACATCACACCCAGACCCGGAACAACAATTTGTGGATCACACAAAGAGTTGTTCCGTGCGAGAACTGATCCCGCAACACGTTGCACGTCAGCCAGTTGCCCAGCCACCGCACCAACCGTGCAGTCTTTAATACCTATGGATGCCAAAAACAAAAAAAAAATTGAAAAGAAAAAAACTCACCTAACATTAATTCGACAGTGATTGAGCAAGACTGGAAGATGTTCAGCGTCCAGATCGGCAGCTACGTGGAAGAGGGAGCGGTTTTCATCATCAGTGTCGAAGGGATCTGCGCCAGCGTCCAGGAGTATTGATGTCAACTCCGGATTTTCTTGGTACAAGGCCATTCTCAGCGGTGTCTGATAAAAACGATAATAATTTTATAGGAAAGCAAATTAAAAGGTCACCTGATGGTAAGCAAACAGCAGCATTTTTTTTAGAATAGGTCGGCAAACGAGCAGATGGATTACCTGATGGTAAGTAATCAGCGCCGCCCATGGACACCCGCAACAGCGCGGAGGAGTAACGAGTGCGTTGCCGACCTTTTAGGGATTAGGGTTTTGGAGATTTAGGGATTAGGAGGGATCGGGGGAGGGGAAGGATCACTTACACGGCGAAACACAACGCTGTGGTTGTTTCACGTCGGTATTCTATGAGGCCGTGGTATAACTCCGGTCGAGCCGACCCATTCGTGCCGAAGCTTGGCTGTCCCACATTTAAAAAGGACACTTGGAGATAAGGGTGTTGGGGATTTAGAGATTGTGAAGTAATGGGGGTAGGAGAAAGTCTCCGGTAACCTCATTCACAGGGCGATACACAACGCTGTGGTTGTTTCATGCCGGTTTTCTGTGAGGCCGAGTATTTTTAATGTTAGTGATCAGCGCCCCCCATCGACTCCCAATGGCAACACCAGAGGAGTCACTGGCGGTTTGCCGGCCTTTTAAGAAGGAGTACGCTCGTTTCTTGAAGGTTTGAAGATTGCTATGGCCAATTTGTGAAGCATGGCTCTCCCGAACTTAATCCGATCATAAAGCAAGTACATTTAACTCGGAAAATGTCACATTGTCCTTGCCAGGTTTTTTTATGTATACACAGGTCGGCAAACGAGCAGACCGATTACCTGATGGTAAGCAATCAGCGCCGCCCGTGGACACTCGTAATAGTATCAAAGGAGCTACTACAAGTGCGTTGCTCTTTTTTTGTCAGGGGAAAATCATCGAATGACTTCTCCCGCCCAGAGTAAGGCGAGAGAGAGTGTCAGACTCTTACTGAAATCCCCCCTATTTCTTCTCCTGCTTTGGGCCGAGGTCGCGGTGACTCATTGCGCTTACCCCGCAACCCCGGATGAACAACAGCCCAGTAGGACCCCGTCTGTTGTGGTCTATTCGCTCTTTGAGGCTTTGCCTGCATCTTGTAATCCACAAGAGGCGATTATAATAGGGATTTAAGGATAGGAGATTTGAGAATTGAGAATGGGGGGCAGGTTTTCGCACCCTGGCTAGTGGCCAACACGACATCGTATCATACCAATTATAACACAATAACCTTTATACTCTTCTAGGTATTAAATTTGTGTCATATACAGTGTTACGTTGAAATACGATTGCATCGGAATCGATTCATCAGTTTCTGAGAAATGTGTACACAAACACGTGTTTATGCATCAACTTGGGCGATTTCCTCAAGTTTTTTGCATACGTCAGTGAAGTGGGTATCCACATTATTATACTAAGTTTGCGATACGAATGGAGTCGGTGATACCAAGGCCTTACACCGTCACCAAAGTCAAAGCTTTTTTATGGTCATCATCATAATCATCATCATCATCAGCCTATAAGTGCCCACTGCTGAGCAAAGGCCTCTTCTCACACGGAGAAGGTTTGAGCATTAATCATCACGCTTGCACTATGCGGGTTGGCGATTTCAAACTTATAATTAGAAATTATAAGTCCAGGTTTCCCCACAATAATCTGATGACCTTCACCGTATGTCAGTGGTGTCTAAATAATCATAGAAAGTACATATAACTCGGAAAAAGTTACATTGGTACTTGCCAGGTTTCGAACACACACCCTCATGCATGAGAAGCTGGCTCCTTAACCTCCAGGCCACCACGACTTAGGTTTAGGTTAGCACACGAGATTAGTTGATGGTAAGCAATCAACGCCGCCCATGTACGGGTGACCACAGCGTTGTGTTTCCCCGTGTGAGTGAGGTTACCAGAGGCCCAATACCGCCCCTTCCTCTATCCCTTTCCGATCCTTATATCCGCAACCCCTATCCCCAAAAGGGCGGCATCGCACTCGTCACTCCTTTGGTGTTGCGGGTGTCCATGGACGGCGCCGATTGCTTACCATCAGGTAATTCGTCAGACTTGATTGCACGGTTGGTGCGGTGGCTGGGCAACTGGCTGCCGTGCAACGTGTCGCGGGTTCGATTCCCGCACGGAACAACTCTTTGTGTGATCCACAAATTGTTGTTCCGGGTCTGGGTGTCATGTGTACCTATGTGAAATTGTATGTTTGTAACCGCACCCACGACACAGGAGAAAATCCTAATGTGGGGCAACGTTTTTTTTTCAAAAAAAAAACTTGAACCATAAAAAAGTGAAAGAATTTCGGCAATCCGACCAGCGGTTCCAAAGATTACCCCCTACATACAAACTTACAAATTTTACCTCTTTATAATATTAGTATATAATTATGATGAGGTGGTTTCCTGTTGCTCCCGTGGAGACGGGATTTTTCAAAGAATTGTTGTAAGGTATTCTATATGTATTTCCTCTCATTGATTTGTAGGAATTTGTACCTACATAAATAAGGTATATAAGCGACTAATAAAAGGGAATGTCCCTGATAAAATGGCTGACACGTACCGAATGAGTATTTAAACAGTGGCATTCAATTTATATAATGAAGCCATATACAAATGAGTTTTATTATAAAAAAAAAATATGTCATAAGTCGTCAAACGAGCTGACGGATTACCTGATGGTAAGCAATCAGCGCTGCCCATGGACACTTGTAATATCAAAGGAGTAACGTGTGGAGTTGTGGGTTATTAGGGATATGGATAAGAGGAATGAGGATGGGGGAGGATTGGGCCTCCGGTAACCTCTCTCACACAACGTAAGAGTTGATTCACACCGGTTCTACACATACATTATGAATTTATAGGTTACTAGCTACTCTCACGCGGTTTCACCGGCTGCTCGGCTCCATTTAATCGTAGCGTGATCGTTTATAGCCTTTGGCACTCAGGAACATTGTAGCTATCTATCAGTGAAAGAATTTTGGCAATCCGACCAGCGGTTCCAAAGATTACCCCCTGCATATAAACTTGCAAATTTTACCTCTTTATAACATTCGTATAGATTATTTTATGGGTGTCATAAATTATGAATTACTATTCTGCGAAGAGAAAGGAACAGACACATTTGTTTATAGTAATAGTAACTCAATTAACGTTTCTCAAAAGCTCACAGTCCGAAGAGAACCTTATACAATTGGGTAGTTTCCTAGGTAAAGAATAAATTAATTCGACGTTTCAATACAATAAAATATTGAAAAATAACTATACTTTTATTCATCGATCGATCGATACACTAAGTTTAAGATATTTAGTAGATAATTTTTAAGTAATAAGTAAGCTATTTGACGCAAAAGTACTATGACGTCATAGCTCATTTTGTCATACAAATTTCATAGAAAAGTATCGTTTTTGACATTTGGATAAAAGTATTGAATTTGACTAGTTGGAAACTACCATATTCCAACTTAACCTACCATGTTCAGCCGGGGTTGAGTGGTAAGCGCAATGAGGCACCGCGGCCTCGGCTCAGAGAAGGAAGTCTGAAGGGATAAGGCCTCCAGTAACCCCACAAATACGGCGAAACACAACGTAATTAAGCGTTGCTTGACGCCGGTTTTCTGTGAGGCCGTGGTATCACTCCGGTCGAGCCGACCCATTCGTGCCGAAGCTTGGCTCTCCCACACACGACATACTTAAGTTTAGGTAACCATTTATGATAATAATAATTATTATAATTGACATATGGAGTGTGCACTCGGCTATCGTTGTGCCGATAGTTGTGTCGCCAAACGGGTTAGTCCCCAAAAGCCTCGACAACCACCTTAAGAGGCTGACGTTAGACGGATAGATCAAGGGCCTCATACAGAAGGCAGTCCTCCTTGAAACGGCACGTATTGTGAGGAGGTTCTTGTCTCTGGAGCCCTAACCACCGGCAGCTTAGACCTTGCACTCGCTGCCGGCCGGCTCCTACTTTTATATTTTTAAATATTATTTTATTTTATTTTATAGTTATATTTAAAAATGTAATTTTAGAGTGATTTTAATAATAATTAGCGAGACTTAATTTACTGCGCTGATAAGGCAATGTTTTCTCCTATTGTTTTCAACATACAATAAGTACTTAATTTACTTACTAAATAAAGGATTATGTAGTAACAACACTTAGGGCTGATTTTTCAATAGTCAGATAAATGTTATCTAAGGAATAAAATTGTTGCTGTCACTGTCTTATACAAACATTCTGACGCGACAGCATCATAATTATTCCTCAGGTAACTTTTATATAACCATTGAAAAATCTACCCTTAAGTAAATTCAATGTGAACGCTTTTACCTAATCTATAAAAATGGATAGTAAAATGTTGGTAAGCGCGTAACTCAACAACGCCTGGACCAATTTTGCTATTTTTGTTGTTTGGTATTGTCAGGAGAAGGTTCTTATCAAAGAAAACTTTAGAAAAGTAGAAGGGAAGATTAGGAAAAAGAGACCCTTTGATAGCGAGATAGTTGGACCCGTGCGAAGCGGGAGCGGGCCGCTAGTATTTTAATAAAATTATTTATGGTTAAGGCGTCCGCTACTCATGAACGCTGGTTCGAAACCTGGCAAGTACCAATGTGACTTTTTCCGAGTTAAATGTACTTTCTATGATTATTTTGACACCACTGACATACGGCGAAGGTAAACATCGTGAGGAATCCTGGACTTATAATTTCTAAATTGTAAGTTTGAAATCGCCAATCCGCTTTGAACGAGCGTCGTGGTTAATGCTCAATTCTCCTGCGTGTGGGACGAGGCCTTTGCTCAGCAGTGGGCACTTATAGGCTGATGATGATGATGATGTATTTAGTGTAACTATCGGTAACTATTTATAATCTTTATTATCTTACCTGGATAACCGTGCACAAAGTCCGTAAGTAGAACAAAAAAAAAGTAATTACGTATTGCCCACTCGACTGTACCATGTGCAAGTTCGGACTCGCGACTATATTCAGGGCGGTCAGACTGGCGCGGGCTATACGGCCTTATTAAAAAAAACAAAGTTTATCTTAGTCTATGTCCAAACCATTGACACAATTTTTTTATTTTTTTATTGAAGGAACTATGTAGGTTAGAACAAGATTCAAAATACAAAACCTGACTCAATGGTTTAAACCTAGACTACCTACTTACTACTTTTTTATGGTATAAGTCGGCAAACGAGCAGACGGTCTACCTGATGGTAAGCAATCAGCGCCGCCCATGGACACCCGCAACACTAAAGGAGTATTGAGTGCGTTGCCGGCCTTTTGGGGATAAGGGTTGCGGATATAAGGATCGGGAAGGGATAGGGAGAGACATCACTTACACGGCGAAACACAACGCTGTGGTTGTTTCACGCCGGTTTTCTAGGATTCTAGGATTAGGATAGGATTTTCTAAAATCATACCTCCAGGATAGGCAGCTTAAAGTACAGGTAAACAAAGTTAATTCTCAGGGTGCTAGCATATCTATGGGCGTACCACAGGGCTCGATATTAGGTCCTTTCCTATTTTTGGTCTACATAAATGACTTACCTCATTTATTTCAGCGAGAACCGGGAATGGTATTATTTGCTGATGACACATCGTTGATTTTTAAAATAAATAGACGGACAAATAATTATGACGAAGTAAATAATGCTATTACGAAGGTTCATAACTGGTTTACAGTTAATAATTTAGTTCTAAACGACAAAAAGACAAAGTGTATACGATTCAGTTTACCAAATGTAAAAAGTAACGAATGTGACATATTATTAAACGGCAAGAAATTGGAATTTGTAAAACAGACTACTTTTCTGGGTATAACCATAGATGAAAAACTACAATGGGGGCCCCATATCACATCTCTGGCAGGACGGTTGAGTTCTGCAGCATTTGCTGTCTGGAAGATCCGACAGCTAACAGATGTGGACACTGCAAGACTGGTGTACTTCAGCTACTTTCATAGCATTATGTCGTATGGCATCTTGTTGTGGGGACAGGCTGCTGACATTGAGTCTATATTTGTCTTGCAAAAGCGTGCAATCAGAGCAATTTACAACCTAAGGCTTCGCGAATCTCTTAGAGATAAATTTAAAGAGATCAATATTATGACTGTGCCCGGTCAGTTTATTTATGAAAATATAATGTATGTTAGGAAACACTTAATATTATTTGATAAGGTATCAGACAGACATAATTACCAAACTAGACATAGAGATAGATTGTGTCAGCCATTATTTAGATTGGCAAAGGTACACAAGTCGTTCATGGGATTCAGCGTTAAGTGTTATAACAAAATCCCAGGCGAAATACAACAATTAAATGAAAGAAATTTTAAATTATGTATAAAGAAAACTTTGTGTAAAAAAGCATATTACAAACTGAGTGATTATATTGAGGATAAGGATGCTTGGAGACGGGCTGGTCCTGCTCCATAGGATAATATACCTACACGAATATAAATAATGTTCCAGTGGATCTTTGCTTGAACGGAAGTTCTTAGATTTTGTAAATTTGTAACCATGCTATTATTATTGTTAAACTTGATAAATTTGTAAATGTGAGTGCCCTGTAACCTATTAAAATTAGTTAGACTAGCAGAATGTCGGTCCATATGTCAGCTTGGAGTTGTCATGCTCACTCAAAGGTCACATTGGCGGTGGCACGGTCACTGGATCGCTCGATTCCCTATATTATGGTTGAGTTGGGCGATGCTGGTGTACGTGTCATGCTCGTGAACGGGCGCCGTCAATTGGGACTGGTCAGCTCCGGACTGTCTATTGTCCTTAAGGTTATTTTCTTTTTATGTTTCTCTGTATACACGCGTTACACTGTTCTCACATATTCAAACTAACTAAATAATGTATCAAAGAATGTTTATGTGACACTGATTTTAAAAGAGTAACCATGGAGTTTCTTGCTCGTTCTTCTCCATCGGAATCTACACTTTGGAACGAGCGAATAGCTTCACTAAAAGGACTGACCGACAGACTGACACTTTGTATCTTTAAAGTTGTGTTGACGTTCAAAAGTGCCTGTATGGGTCTAATTGAAATAAATAATTTTGACTTTGACTTTGACTTCTGCGAGGCCGTGGTATCACTCCGGTCGAGCCGACCCATTCGTGCCGAAGCATGGCTCTCCCACATCTCATAAGGGGGATGTTGTTTAAAAGAATGTGGATTTCCTCACCATTCCATCAGCGAGCAGGTCTACCGTCGATTCTCTCATCTTCAACGCTAAGCACTGACGACGGAGCAGGTCCACGTCATTCGTCAGTACAGCCACGTGGATAGGGCTAGGGAGAAAAAAAACAAAACCTATAATTATAAAAACAAGACATTGGCATTTTCGTTGTAATCTTTATATATAAAATTTTGTGTCACGTTGTTTGTCCGCGATGGCCTCCTAAACTACTAAACCGATTTTAAATTTGTTTTGCATTCCGTGTGCATTTTGATCCAACTTGAAACATAGGATAGCTTAGATCTCAATTTATAGTCACAATATTATATACCTTAGCCACAGCAACGCGTGGCTGGGTCTGCTAGACCATGGATATAACTCAACAATGGCTTTACCGATTTGGTTAATTTTGGTCTTGAATTATTCGTGGAAGTCCAGGGAAGGTTCCATAGGCATAAAAAAAAGTTATGTTTGAGGCGGTACGGAGTTCTTCAAGTCAGATAGTTCCATCTATACTATATTTACGAATCTATACTAATATTATAAATGCGAAAGTAACTCTGTCTGTCCGTCTTTTTTTCACGCCTAAACTAATAAACCGATTTCTGTGAAATTTGGTACAGACATAGTTTGGAACTCGAGAAAAGCCATAGGATAGTTTTCAAAAATCTGCAGGAAGTCACTATTCCATGCGAAAATCATCAAATATGTCATATTTCCTTGCCCAGGGTTAGGCGAGCAACATTGCAACCTTGCGAAGTGTGGGCCGATAGTCCAAACACAAACTAATAAATGCGAAACTCTATAAACTACTGAACCGATTTCTATGATATTTAAAAGGACATAAGATAGTTTTTATACCAAAAATCTGCAGCAAGTCACTATTACACGCGAACGAAGTCGCGGGCAAAAACTAGTATAACATAAAAACAAAAAAAATATCTACCTAAAAAGGGTATTCACAAATTTTATGTGACATTGTGAAGACATTATGAAATTACTTGGTGTACTTAGGTCAAATGAGCAACAGTTCCTTAGATATGAAAGATAAAAAAAATATAATTTTGATAGACATATCACTGTTATATGATAAACAACACATTCTTTTGTTTGTTTACACTTTACAAAGTAAATCCACAACATCACATAACATAATCAGGCTATAAGTGCCCCGAGAGATGATCTCCGGCCACAGTAAGCGCGGGTCTGCGGACGGCAAGTAAGGGCAGCTCGCCGCCCGACCAGAACCAGACCCGAGCGTACGACGCGTAGCGTTCCGCGCGCGCCTCAAAGAGCCAATAGACCACCACAGACGGGGCCCTATAGGGCTGAAGTTCAGCCGGGGTTGCGGGGTAAGCGCAATGAGGCACCGCGACCTCAGCCTAGAGCAGGAGAAGGTAAAGAGGGGTTTTTAGTCAGTAAGAGTCTGACACTCCCTCTGCCCGGCCCTGGGCGGGAGAAGCCATTTGATGATTTTTCCCCTCACAAAAAAAAAGGCTATAAGTGCCCACTGCGGAACAAAGGCAAGTCTTCTTGCACAGAAGGTTTGAGCTTCGATCAATACGCGGAATAGCTTTAAATCAATGTCAATATCATTTAGGTATCACAATTAGACCCTTACAGGCACTTTTGAACGTCAAACAAAGCTTAGAGTTAAAAGTGTCTGTCGGTCAGTCCTCTAGTGAAGCTATTTTGCTCGTTCCAAAGTGTAGATTCCGATGGAGAAAAACGAGCAAGAAACTCCATGGTTTCTCTTTTGAAATCAGTTTCATATACCTACAGATTCTTTGCTACATTATTAAGTTGGTTCGAATATGTTTTAAAAACCGCCTTGAGTAATTTGAAAATTGGAATAAGTGCATCGTGCACGAATGGGTCGGCTCGACCGGAGTGATACCACGGCCTCACAGAAAACCGGCGTGAAATAACCACAGCGTTGTGTTTTGCGGTGTGAGTGGGGTTACCGGAGGCCCAATCCTTCTCCTAATACCCTTCATTCCTCCCCTATCACTAAATCTCCAAATCCCTAAACCCCAAAAGGTCGGGCGAAAACGCCGGCAGAAGCTAGTCTGTTAAAAGAAGATAGGTAGGTATGGTCTGATATAAGTAAGATAATTACGATTATATTGTAATTTTATTGATAACAATGTAATAAAATTACATAATATATATTGTAACACAAACATTTGTGATTCCCCGTTAGTGTAAGGATAAAACAAAGTCGCTTTCTCTGTCCCTATATCCCTATGTACGCTTACATCTTTTAAAAATTACGCAACGGATTTTGATGCGGCTTTTTAATAGATAAAGTGATTGAAGAGAAAGGTTTATATGTATAAAAACAACCATTAAATGCGTAGTTCGAAGCAGATCCTTGTGTACTATGGCACTCGTAATACCAAAGGAGTTACTATAAATGCGTTGGCGGCTCCTTGTGGGTTATTAGGGATTTAAGGATAGGGGATTGAGGAGTGAGGATGGAGGGGATTGGGCCTCCGGTAACCTCACTCATACGGCGAAACACAACGTAAGTGTTGATTCACGCCGGTGTTTCTGTGAAGGCGTGTTATCACTCCGGTCGAACCGACCCATTCGTGCCGAAGCATGGCTCTCCCACAGTCTAATTTATTTGATATAAGTAATAAAAGATTAGTTAATCTTTACAAAAAAGATAAAATAAAGTACCTTAATAATGTATATCATCATCATCTTCCTGCCCTTGTCCCGTTTTATTTGGGGTCGGCGCAATATGTTTTTTTCTTCCATTCTATCCTGTCACTAGTCACGCTATCACTAACTCCTCTGTCTTCCATATCACTTCTCACACAATCCATCCATATTTTCTTTGGTCTCCCTCTCCCTCTCCATCCCTCCACATCTATACTCATGGCTTTTTTGTAACATACCTTAATAATGTACATAAAATGTTGAAAATATTTAAAAATAGATTTTTAAGATAAATTATACTTATAATGTTATCTCCATACTAAATTGTGTCTGTTTCTTTTATCTATTGGCGCTAACCAATTTTCTAGTTATTTTTTATAGGAGACTAGCAACTCTCACGCGGTTTCACCCGCTGCTCAGCTCCATTTGATCGTAGCGTAATGTTTAATAGCCTATAGCACTCAGAAACATTGTAGCTATCAATCAGTGAAATAATTTTGGCAATCCAACCAGCGGTTCCAAAGATACAAAGTACCCCCTACATACAAACTTACAAAGTTTAACCTCTTTATAATATTAGTATAGATTATGGTTGACGAGAGGGACTGTCAGTTTCACTGACTAAAATTCTGCTCTAGGTCTAGACCGCAATACCTTTCTCAACAGTAATACAATGAGTCCTGTGTTATTCAAAATATAAAATTTTAGCAAGACTGTTAGTAGATATATATAGTTTTAAACAAAGATTTAAAAAATAAACTGTTCTGTCTGTCTTTTCACACCTCATTTACCGTGTAACAGATACTATTGCCACATATATGACAAATATAGACTCCATAGTCCATACTACTAAGGAGGAACAAATAATTTTATAAACCTAAAGCGTATCTAATTTCATGTCTGTTGTCTGTTGATCATAAATAACCGTCAAACAAAACATTTTAGTATCAATTTTTATACTAATAATAAAAATTATATACTGTAGAGCACCATGCAATGCGGTCCTTACATAATAATATGCCATTAAACATCTGCTTTAAAAAAAAAATGAAATTACAAAATAAAATTAATTTGATTGCAAATACTTACAAATGCCCCTCTTGATCCATCGTTAAACAATTTTTCCATTCCGTTAAACCTTGACGGAGCAGCAGCTTAATCCGTTGTTCTGGTGGCACATGACGCAACATCTCTTTCAAATTTAGCCCTAACTGTCCATCCGCATGACTTTTTGGAGATTCAAAGTTTAAACCTCTAGATGGTTCCGTAACACTACACGGTCCACTCTCACTTTTAATATCTCTTGTATGACGATCAACGTTACTTATAATATTTAATGGATTATCCATTAAATCTGATGTAGTTTTGATGGATAACGAAGACAACCGCCCAACACTGTTATTTGAATTCGAATCTTCGTCAAACACGGAGCTAAGTTCAGGAAGACTGCTTGCTTCTGGCGAGGACACTGTTTCATTGTTATCCTTTTGAAACTCGGAAAACTTATCCGGATTTATCACTATTCGACGTGGCTTTTTAACTTCATTTGGTGTGTCCTTCACCACTACAGGCGCCAATTTCTGTCTTCGTCTTCCCTTTCTTATAGAACTCTTTAGGCAAGACTCATTAGTTTGCAATATTGCATCCAGAGTTTTTTTATTCACATTAAAATTCACATCATTAAATTCCGTTTGGCAGGCCGCGAAATTTGTGCTCTTAGCAACAGTCAGCAAGGAATATATGCTACGAACCTTCAACTCTTGATTGATAATAGAACACAAGGAAGTAAATAAAAAATCGTAATTTTTTTGGCCGATTAACTTTGTTATTTCGTCAGACGTCTTCTCATACGTCTGTCCTATATAGCTTTCGCATCTGGCAATAGTTCGGCAAGCTTTAGTCAACATGTTGAGGCGATTAACAATCGTCATAGTACGGGCTTCCCCCGACATGAAATCACCGTCTTTAGATTTATAAATCACAATCTCTTTGATCGAATTCTGCAAAGATTTCAATACTCGAACATTCTGACTCAAAGGCTTGATACCTTTTCTGATTATAATCTTCCTGTTAAGTATTAAAGGTAACTTCTTCAATGTAATTGGTTTAGCTTCTTCTGTAGCCATTTTTCACTGTTTCGTGTTGTTTTTACACTTATTTTATAATTGTCACTGTTTGTTATAGTTAGCTCAAGAATTAAAATGCGCAATTGTAAGTCGTACGAACCATTTCCATGGCTTTTTGAATTAAATAACAAGTTATTCTTCGGGGTAACCCCCTGAATGTGACGTCTCGAATAAAGAAACAAGCACACATGACATGTACCTATGTGTTAGTTAAAGGTTCCAACACGCTTAACGACTTCGGTACGACTTTTTATTAAAAAAACTACAAGACAACATTTATTATTATTTCGTTTTTATGCTTTCTACACTATTATTTGAAGACGTATTATTAATATAGGATTTAAATCCTTGTTTTGGTATTTGTTACTTTAAGTTTCCGATAAATCAATATCAGTTTTATTTAATTTAGTTCACGTATAGACACATTTTACCTATATAATTTTCATTTAAAACAATTAATATTTTACGTTTTTAGCGATTAAATGGATTTTTGTTGTATATTAAATTCATTGTAATTAATAAACACGTAGTGGTGTCGTTGTCGTATCTTGCCCGAATCGTGTTGTGTAAAATTCTCAGAAGTTTCCATGCCGCGGCATTCCCCAGAACGTTCCTATTACACTGAATTTCCTTGACCTATTTGTCAAGATAATAAAGTTAAATTATTTCATAAACGCATAAACTATGAACCAATATTGTTAGGTTTGTATTTGAAATATAACAAATTCGTATTTAAGTTAAAGTTTATTTCATTCATAGTTTATCATTTAGTATTTTTCAGTTTGACGTTTAGAATTTTTGCTTGCGGAGGAACGCGTGCGAGAACATAACTTGTCCTTGGTAGATACTTGTTTGGAAGTGCGTTCAGAATACCAAATTCGTAAAATAATTCACTAAATTAATAATTTTTGAATTTCATTTGTTATTTATCTATGTTTCTATTAAAACTACACTTTGAAGTTGATGCAGCTTAGATTTGCATTTAAATATGTCATTGAAATTGACGATGTAAAAAAAAACACTGAAAAAAAGAGAGGAAATTTTTAAACAACTAGTGGTTGAAAAATAAAGAAAACGAACTATTGACGACAAACAATTAATTCTACAAATTTTTATATCTACTTTTATTTTCAGAAAAGAACATTTTGTTTTTATTTGAAAATTATGGACCTACAATTCTGTAGTTTTTTAGGTCAAAAATATATGAATTCGACGTTTCAATACAATAAAATATTGAAAAATAACTATACTTTTATTCATTGATCGATCGATACACTTAGTTTTAGATATTTTGCAGCTAATTATTAAGAAATAAGTGACCTATTTGACCCAAAAATACTATGACGTCATAACTAAGTTTTACACATTGAGATAGAAAATATTTTATTTCCTACCTATGTCAAAAGGTTTTACATACAATCGTTTTTGACATTTTGATAAAAATATTGAAATTGACTAGGTAGTTGGAAACTACCGTATTAAAACCAACCTGGTATAGTCGACCACATTAAATTGGAGACTCGGTTGCCATTGAAGAAGAAAAAAAAAACCAAACTGATTTCTTCTATTGTTTTTCATGTTAAGTCTTCGATCTGACTGAGCTTTCATTTTGTTTTTTAATTTTGACAAACTGCAACTAATCAAATGAATACCTACAATTAAACTTTATAAAAGGAAAATTAACAATGTTGTTTAACATTAGTTACATTGGCACAATGCATTTTATTCAAAAAGCATTTTTTACTACAGCTATGAGCCGTATAGTCAGTAAGTACCTCCCCGTATCCCCAATTCCTTGATCCCGCAGTTCTCAAATCACTTATTCCCAAAAGACTTGCAAGTGCAAAAGAGTTGGAGAGCCATGCTTCGGCACGAATGGGTCGGTTCGATCGGAGTGATACAACAGTCTCACAGAAAACCGGCGCGAAACAACCACAGAGTTGTGTTTCGCCGTGTGAGTGAGGTTACCGGAGGCCCATTCCTTCCCCTCCCCCAATCCCTTCTCAATCCCTAAATCTCCAAATACCTAATTTCTAAAAGGTCGGCAACGCACTCCTAACTCCTCCGTTGCGGTTGTCCATAAGCGGCGCTGATTGCTTACCATCAGGTAATCCGCCTGCTCGTTGGCCGACCTGTTACATAATAAAAATAACGCACTTACAACACTCTTGACGTTGCAGGCGTCCATATTTATCCAATTTGCCACCAAGTCCCAATTTGGAAAATCTTCATGGAACCCCTTCGTCTCCACAATCTGCTAGACTTTTTACCGACTAAAAACCCACCTTGTGGTCCCGTCTATCAGTTGGGCGTGAGGGTGCGGGAATCAAATTCATCCGCTAGCCCCAACTCGCGACAACAGAACTATATCTAGGTATATCAATATAGTTCTGTGCTCGTGACGGCCTATCCCAGTAGGTCCCACCTCAAGAATCACGCGAAAGTGATGTATGAATCTCCCCCGTGCCTCGCCACGAGGCTCGCGTGGACACTACGCGCGCCACCGTCCTGTGTTCTGTTTAATGGGATGACGGGGTCTACCACAAGTCCACCTTCCCCAAACCCATCTAGGGGGTCGTAAGAGAAGAGCTTCTGTCCTCCTGGAGGAGTATTCGTGATTTAGCCAATTTGTCACCCTATCCTATAAAAAATACTTCATCACTTAGTTTTATGATAGGTATTTTATTTTCATCATTTAGTTTTATAAAAGGTATGTTAAAGAAGCTATGTTGCTAATTTAATATTAATTAAATTAATGAAAGACGCTAAATGTATATCTATTGCCAATGTTAACTTATATTAATAAGTAAAAGGGTGTAGATAGGTTACCTAAACAAAATTCGATTTTGAAAAACGACACACTGATACCTCAGAATACAGAACAAACCAGAATCCGCGTTCACTCATTATTGCATGTTGTCTAATGTGTCCAAAAACAATACGTCAGTGACCCCGCTAGCCGCACTTCCCACCCGCGTAGTGTTGCCGACAGGGAACAATTCCCTTGGTTTGGGGTAATTTTACTAAAGGGGGGGGGAGGGGTAAGATATATTTTTTGGGAAAACCCAAAAAAAATATAGGAAAACTTACGATAATTGCAACAGACTAGTTGTTTACACATTTCATGCAGGTATCATAAAGTTGACGATTTCTGGCTGTGTTAATTTTAATTACACCGACTATACACAACGTGTATAGTAAATGTGTTTTTTATCCATTTTAAAACTAATATGATAAAGGTTCCACAATGGACAACAATATAACTCACAACAAATAAATAAGTGGGTAAAATTTACACCAAAAATGACAACACACACAAAATGGCGGCATCATTGTCATAGAAAAACAAATCGGTAAAAGAAAATCAATAATTAATTAAATATACTACTGCAGTCGATGCTTACAGATGAAATGTAATCTTATCCACTTTTTTCGTAATTCCAGCTCTATTTTTACTCGTAGGAATAACACAAGACTGCTTAATGAAATTAAAATTGATACTCGTAAATACGTCACGACATGCCATGTGAAAAGAGACAAATATGAAAAAGTGTGGCTAGTTAGCCACATTTTAATGTATCACTTGCTGAGCGCTTGTAACCTATCTACACCTTTTTACTTATAATATCATTGTCTATTGCTTTTGTTTTATAACTCAAATTATTAGATGAAAACTGTTAAGGATGTACCAACGTAGTCATTTTTATATTTAGCCTGAACTTATAAAAAAAAAGATTTTCATTTATTTCTGTCTGCTTAAATGATTTCAGTTATATTTATAGTTGAAAAAATACTCTTCAAATTAACTATTAAACCCATGAAACTACTAAAAAGACATTTAAAATAAAAATCTTATAAATAATGACAATAAAAGTACAACAAATCAAATACCTATCTCTTTAATGTAGGTACAATACCGCCAACGTATCTTGGCGAGTCTGAAGTTAGCCGATTAGCTGCGCAGTACACAATTTTGTTCCTGAAAGATCCATTGCGCAGACAAACGGCTAATTTCAGACTCGCCAAGATACGGCGGCCGTACTGTAGGTAAAGATTGAGGAGCCACATCAGGTTTTTAAACTCAGTTTTTACCATTATTTAGCAGCAATGTAGCCTATTTTGCAGCACAAATTCTAGATTTAGCACCCAAATATGTTCAGATTGGGGAGCCTCCTTTTCATTAAAATAACTAGACATATATTTTACTGCGAAATGTAGGATTCGTGCTGTAGAGCCAGTAAACCACCACAGACGGGGCCCAATAGGGCTGATGTTAAGCCGGGGTTGTGGGGTAAGCGTAATGTGGCACCGCGACCTCCGCCCAGAGCACTAAAAGGAACGCGGGGGTTTTAGTCAGTAAAGTCTGGCACTCCCTCCCGCCCTACCCTGGGCGGTTCGATAATTTTCCCGCCACAAAAAAAGGATTCGTGCTGCAAAATAGGCTACATTGCTGCTAAATACTACATCAGGTTTTTAAAAACTGATTTTAAAAACCTGATGTGGCTCCTCAATCCTGACATAGGTACATTCTCTTTTGCTGTGGAAATCGGATGAAAACTATCTTCGCAGACCTTTTAGGTATTAGATAGAACAAAGAAAAAATATTATTTTTAATTAAACAGTAAAAAAAATAACAGAAGTAACATGGTATTCGAACGCTTACCTAGGGGAAGTCCATACCAAGACCAAAATGATTTGGATAATGTACTTACAATCTGATCAGAAGGTTTACTGTGAATAAATATATCTAAAAAAACAAGAAAATATTTCGAATAACATATTTTTCTTTAAGTCTAATATTATAAAGAGTTAAAATTTTTTAGTTTGTATGTTGGGGTAATCTTTAGACGCTGCTGGTCGGGTTGCCAAAATTATTTCACTGATTAGATAGCTACAGTGTTCCTGAGTGCTACAAAACGTCACCCTACGGCCAGTAGGAGCCGAACAGTGGGTAAAACCACGCGGCAGTAACTAGTACTTATTTAAATTGATTAAGTTGTGAAGACGGCGGAGCTAAACATCGTGAGGAAACCTGGACTTTTAATTTTATAATTATAAGATTGAAATCGCCAACCCGCATTGAGCAAGCGTGGTGATTAATACTCTAAACTTTCTCCGTGTGAGAAGAGGCCTTTCTTTGCTCAGCAGGAGTGTTGCTGTCCTATCACCTAAAAAAAGAGATA